AAGGTCTACGCTGCTGAAAGCAAGCCGAGATTCATCCACGCTGCACCCAGGCCGAGCGTTGAGGAGGCCGCCCTGCTTATGTTGCTTCGCTTTGTGCCATTTGTGCTTACAAGCATAATTGATTCTGGAAGCCGGTACTCGTAGCAGATTGTAGCAGGCCAGAGCGCAAATCGACAAGCTCAAAGCAAGGCAAAGACAGGGCGAGATGCCTGAAGTGGGCAACGCGTACCCCACGTGAATGTGTAGTTCAGGACACTTGTGTGGGGTGCTCGGTGCATCAGGCGACAGCACATACTTGAGATTGCGCAGCGCTATTCGGGTCTCCTGGCAGAAGCAGGACAGGTCAGTTGAGTTCGATTCAATGTTCTTTGGTTTGCAGATGATAGCTTGAGCGTGTTCGTGAAGTGTGGAGTGCCTGAGGTGCGCAGCGTGTACAAGCTCGAAGCCGGACGAAGGTGCTCAACGAGGCAAGGGTGGGAGCGGTGCTGCCCAGATCTGCCCAGTACCATCCCAGTACCATCCCAGTACCCCCTCCCCTCGACATGTTGGCCTGGTTCTGATGCGGTTGTCTGGGGCAATTCTTGCAGGTACCTCCTCATAAGGAGCTTCCGGAAGCGCAGTCTGCTCTCAAAGGCCGCCTCGCGCAGCGCGTTTGGTCACGTCATGGTGGAAGTGGTAGCTGGTGATGCAGGCTTTGCTCCAGATATGACTTTTGCAGTTGTCAGGCCCACGAAGTTCCGAGCTCGAGAGTCCTCGGCAGTGGCCTGCGCCTGGTTGCAGCGGCGTGTCGCTGGACCTCCTCCGGCAGACAGGCCTCCTTTTCTTCATCGGCCATGCAAATCTCAAGTTGAAAAGGTCGGCATGTGCTGCATTTGTCCATGCACCTGGACCATTGTATCAACGCTCCAGTTCCCGAGCTGCAGGCATCGATGTGGACGGAGCGAAGCTGCAGGCTGTGTGAACTTTTTGGGGAAGAACGGTAGTAGGAGCTGCATGTTTCTCCTCGTCGCGTTCACAGCTATGTGTAAATTTTCAGCACGACACGCAGAGGCGAAGACGTGAAACCGTGCACGAGTCTAAAGGGCTCAGAGGCTCCGATGTTCCCTATCAAAGCTGCATAGTTTTTCGCAGCAATTCGAACGCACGCCAGGCAGTCCAGCCAAACATAGCCAAACAACCCTCTCGTCCACAACTGGGCACCCAGAAGTGTGAACTCTTTGCACTTGCGAGAAACATTTTGGATGATGCTAGTACTGAAATGCTCTCTGGCACTGCTGCAGCCCACACGCGACACCCTTGGTATACATTGGATCCGCACATGTGGGACCGTTCAATGCGTTGATGGGAGGCAGGACTTGCGAGTGAGGCAGCGAAGCGTGAGGACCGGAAACAGAGGGTAAGCTCCCTGCAGCGACGACCCGCAGTCTGGGCTTGAGATTCCACTTTATTGGCGCAGAAGCTTTGACAAATCCAGGCAAGACTCCTTATGGAGAGAGGCTGAATAGGTAGGCAAGGCATCCTAGTCCTAGGCATGCAGAGCTTTCAGGAACTATCAAACGTGTGCGATTCGCCTATGTTCTGTTGCGGTAGGAGCTTTGGATGAGCTTCCTCTGTGGTCCGGCACCCTGCTGCATTGCCATTGCAAGACAAATTAGAGTGTGCGTGCCTCTGCCCCCAGCATGGGAACTAAGGGTGTCTTGTCACAGTTCGGTTCGGGCACGATCGGAACAATCCAACAACCACAGAAATCGCCCGAGAAGCCACGCACCACAACAATCCCAGACGCACCAGCAACCTCAACAATCATTGCATTCCAGACAGGCCAAGGCACACACACACACACACGAAGCAAAACAATTGCCTTTTTGATACTAGGTCCACATGATCAAAGCAATCGTAGGACTTTCTGTTCCAGATAAGCCCAGACGCACCGTCAGATTGTTGTGGCTTGATCCAAGCACTACTGTTGCCTCAGCCCTTGGTGACGCTGTTCGGCTGTCGTGACTTCGACGACACATCTTCTGACTTGTCGGGCCCGTTCGAATATTTGAAAGCGGGAAAGCGGTAGTTGCTCGTCGGGTAGTTGGGAGAGGTTCAAAAAGTGGTTCAAGGCAGGGCGACTGTATGATGTTCACTGTTCGCTCACATATGTTAGATTTTTTGGATTTAATTGATTTATGGACCCTCTGATTTCCAAGGTGATGATAAACCTGTCGGTGGTGATGCTTTGCCATCCCCTGACGAGTTTCTCCATCTGCGTGGGGGCTACAGGTGATGGATAACCGCAGTCAGGACGCCCGATCTAGCATCGCTAGTGCACATGGCACGCAGCAACCTCGCTGCAATGCCAGTGCTAGTAGTAGCGCTCAATGTTCACTAGACCGTGAAGAGGAGCGCTTTGCAAATTGTACAAAGTTTCAGACTGGGCTACAGATGCTGTGTGGCTGTATGGTCCATCCCAGAAGGGCTTTGCTTTAGTTTAGGCTTTGTGCCCCAGGTCTTGTGGAAAAGCGCCAGAGTTCTTTTCTGCACTCAAACTCGCATTAGCATCATGCTCCAGCAGATTTGTCCTCAAAGAAAGTCGTTAAGCCCAGCGGTCTCCTGCCTTGAAGAAGGCAGTCGCTTCTGTGTTCCAGCAGCTGCTGTTCCGTCCTACGTTTGGCTGTGTTCTTCGATGTGCTGTGCAGGCATTATTCAAGATGGCGCAGCTCAGCCTCTGCATCCTCATGTCACTGGGTCATGCATGAACTATGGTCGTCTCTGAATTCTGAAGCCCGTGTCGGGGCCTGTGTTTTTTCGCCTTCGGAAAGTCTTCTTGGTGGGCGCGTGCAAGGCTGAGCTCCGCGTACATAGCAGCCGGTTCCAGAGGAGACGAGGTCCTAGTCAGCGAGCCTGTGATGACGCCAGGCATGTAAGATGACTGCCCACATGACTGCCCACATCTGCCCACCTCTGCCCATGCTGACAGCGCGAAACTGTAGATGAGCCTCCAAGATTGTTTCAAGGAAAGCCGCCCCTGGCGTGTCAGAGGCCATCACCGTCGCTTGTCCAGCAGAGATAAGCCCTGCAACAAAGATGCGTCGCTTGAGCCCCAAGAACCGACAGACAGCTGCACTGAGGCTGCCCAGGACTGGCTCTTTCTCACAGGCCCATCTCCTGTGGTTGCTGCTACGGCAAGCCGTGCCTGGTTACGTGCCCTGGAACCCTTTGGTACGATGGCGACCGTTGCGGAGACTTGCGGAGTGGTGGGACGTAGGTACTTTGATAATCTTTGGCCTGGCCACTGTTGCCATGATCTTGCAGATCCGCTCGGCGCTGGCAGCCGGCTCAGTCGATGCTCTTAGAATCTTAGGATTGGAAACACTACTCGGGGACACCAGCTTGGATTGAGTTCACCTTAGCAGGACTGTTTCCTGGACAGGCCATTCTGAAGCGGGGCCTGAACCAACTCTCGAAGCTTGACGAACAGGCGGCATTGGCACACATTGGCTACACGTGCAAGAAGACGTATTCTGTAGCCTTCTGTGCAGCTGTTGCTGTTCCGCACGAACTGCTTTTGATTGAACAGGTTGCCCCGGCTGCTTGGATGGCAATTCTGTTGCCATTTCTGCCATTTCTGCCATTTCTGCCCCATTTCTGCCATTTCTGCCATTTCTGCCCCATTTCTGCCGTTTTGAAAGATGGCGTCCACGGCCAGACCGCCTAGGAACCCATGAGCCCTGCAGCCTTTCATGCGGCGGGGGAGGAGGAGAGCTACCTGCTGCTACATGGTTCTGCAGCTGTGAGAGGAATCTGAGAAGGGTGAGAAGTAGAGTGTTGGGGTCTGAAAGAGAGTGAAGCGGGGAGGCGGCTCTGCTGCAGCGCCAGCGCCTGGCCGAGCACCGGCGCAGGTGCCTACAGCGAGCGGGCGAGGCACCGGAATCCCTTCAGGAAAAGCCCCCCCCCCCCCGGCCCCCCCCTTGGCCCAACCTGCGCTTTTCGGATCTCAGGTACTTCCGGGTTTACACAAGCGACAGCGCACTTGTTCACGCCTTCCTGTGTTTTGTGCGTTGCTGTGGCCATTTGTGTGGTGTTTCTGATTGTGTTTGGATTGACACAGTACGAGGCGTGCAGACTGGATGACTGGCATCAAGAAAATCACACCTGCCGCCGAAGCATTGCAAGGATTCATGCCTTGAGGTGCCTGTATGCCTCATGCAGGGACAGGAGGACATCTGGGCGACAGCCTCATCAATGTTAATGCAAAGAGAGAAGATGAGACGTATGAGGCTTTTTGCCAGGTGGCACTCGGGAAGCTCCCAAGAGGGAGCGTGAAACTTAGTTCGACCTGGGACAACATTCAGCAACATTCAGCAACATTTCGCAACATTCAGCAACGTTTCGCAACATTCAGCAACATTCACCACCATTCACCACCATTCAGCAACATTCAATTCAAAGCACAGCGGGGTTCAAACAAGAGCAGAATGTCTTGACTGCATGCTTGCTTGCTGGCTTGCTTGCTTCTTCCTGGCCAGTCCTCTGTGCGCCGCGCCCGCAGCGTGCCGCTGCCGGCGAAGGCAGCATCGCGCCCACGTGCCCGAAGTGCAGACAGGCCATTCCTGCTCCCGTGAGTTTGTGGACCTGTGCAGACTCGCGGTATGCTCTGGACTAGTCCTCTACGAGTGATCTGACGGATGTTTACAGGTAAGAGGTGGCTGCAGGCCACTTTGAGTCGACCCTATCTCCGTCGACGAAAGCAGCTGATGTCGCACTGGCGAAATGTCTCGGCTTCATGCTTTTTTTTACAGCAGCAATTCATTGGATTAATGGTAGGGGAACATTTCGTCATCTGCAAATCACGTCTCACCTTGAAGTCCAGCAGGGCAGTTTCCAAAATCGTGACCTGCCTTCCGATCTCGCTGCTGTCCCCAACATGATGTTGCTGTGGGGTCGTTTGCTGCTGTTCCTTGCGATGTCAAACTGGCTTGTCAGCACTCCTAACTATCATTTTCTTGCAGGCCAAGGTCATCTCCTTCCCTGGCACACAAAAGTCAGCCTTCGCGACGGAGGCGGGGTTTGCCGCCTGTGATTCTCTGTCATCGTGGTACCAGACCTTTGTTGGTGACGCGCGGTAGTTTCTGGGGCTTGAGCCCAGCATATGCATTGAAGACGAGATGATAGGTACATGCAGCCCGATGCTTCAAGGTAGCAAGGAGTTTGGACAGCATTACTTCCACCAAAGCACGCATTGCAACTCACGCAGATGCCTTGGTGTGTGTTGACAATGGGGCCACGTGCAGTCTGCTCTTGGAGAGCACGAGACAAGCAATTCAATACCTGTGCCTTACCTAGCCAGAGACATGTTTCCGACCTGCACACGCAGCCTTTTCGTGCCGCCGGCAGTTGGGCTGACCTCGCATCCTTGGCCGTCACCTGCCAGGTCCGCAACAAGAGTCATGGCACGATTCAGGTTTGAGGTACGAAACACTGAATACTCGTCTCATGAAGCAGAGGTACTTTCAAAGCATGCCAGTCAGTATAAGACAGCTAGGTGACGTGAGCTGCAGATGTAGGCTCGTTTTGGGTTTGGGGAAATAGTTTGTTCGAACTGGGGTTGGGACAGTTGCGTAACTTGGGGATTTTGCGAATGCTGCAGGATGCATGCCGATGTATGCGCTGCGCTGAGGCAAGGCAGGGCATCCTGGGGGATCTTGGAGATCTTGGAGCTGGGAGGCTGGTTGGGCCCTCGCCGTCCCGTGCTCTCTCGCAGGCCTGGCCCGGGAAAGACGTGCAAGGCGAGGGGGACAGAGGGAACGCGGGCGACAAGGGGGACGACAAGGGGGACGAGTGGGACTGGGCTCCGTTCCCTTGGCTGAATTGTTGGGCCCAGACCTGGCAACGGACTGGCCAGAGCTGCAAGAGCTGCAAGACCAGGAGAATCTTAGCGTTGTGGCCGCAGACTTGCTGGACCTAGATCGGTGCTTGCAGCTGGTGTCGCAAGTCTTCGAGGTGGCCTCCGACCCCCAGGAGCAGGAAAGTGTGAAGAAGGGCATCGCTGGCAGACTTGGAGCTCGGCGTAGCCTTGTGGGCCGAGACGCAGCCTCGCCCCGACCACTGCTGGCACGGCCTGCGCCGCATGGGTCCACAGAGCGCCCGGACCTGGGGCTGATTCTCTGCCTGGAGCGCTCGAAAGACGAGGGCTCCCGCTCTCCCCTCGTGGCGCTGGTGGACCTCTCCCTGTGGCCCGACGATGGACGCATCCGTGCGCCAGGTGCCAAAACCAAGCCTGGGGTGGCCAGCCAACCCTACGTGCTCAACTTGTGCGTGGACCCAGCCTGGAGGCGCAGGGGCCTTGCACGGAGGCTGATGACAATCAGCGAGAGGTTCTTACGCGACATCTGGGGCGACACGCAGGTGTGTCTGCATGTGGAGGATGATCAAGTCGCTGCCAATGAGCTCTATGAGAGATTGGACTACGTACCAGTGAAGTACACGTTTCTAGCCAGCCATTGTACCACTTTTTTGCTGAGTCTTTTGCTGCCGCAAGGGTGCCCTCTTTCTGCAAAGCACAAACGCGTTGCTACAATGCGTAGGAGTAGCCCGTCGCAACCGTGGTAAAACTGCTTTCCATATAGACGCTTGTCCCTACTTTTCGTGAGTCGTATTCTCTCTTGAGGTTTAAACCTTAAAAGTGCTCTATCTCTTTTTCGCCTTGCTTTGGTTGCATCTGTAGAGACGACCAAGGTACGACAAGGAGTTCCCGTACACCAAGGCAAGCCCTGTCGACAAAACGCCCAAATGGAGAGAATGCACGGGCAATGCGAATATGCGATACGAACACCTGAGAGAGGAAAGAAGCACTCTTGGAGTCAGGACTTGAAAATCTTTGAAGGTTTTTGTGTATTTTGTTCCTTTTAAGAGAGAAATTTTCAATGCGCTTGTGCAACGTGCTTTACTCTCACCTGCCCTGAAGGCAGAAGCAAAAGTCCTGCGAAAAGCAACTTGGTTGCTTTTCAGTTCTTCGCAGCCTTTAGCATTCCTCACTGTGATAGTAGGCAGGTTAACCTGAGTGAAGTCTGTGTGGGTACAGCACGCACCGAATGCAACATCGGCCACTCTCTCGCTGTCCAAGTTGAGGTCACCTGGCGGCGGAAGTTGTTGCCTGCACCCTCTCAAAACTCACCTGCGCGAACAGGCTGGTCTTTGTCATGTTAGCTTCCTGCCAGTGTCTGACTTTGGAACGGTGCTTGCGCTGTATGAGCACTGCCAGGTGCGGCATTGCCAGAAGGGGAGCCGGCTCTCCCAGCTGCGAGTGCACTCGATCCTTTCGACGACTTCATCGATCCAGATGAAGACTTTGACGACGAGGACGAGGCCCACCAGAGCACTGATCAAACAGTTGCTAACGTGTCGAGCCTCATGGCTTGCACCTGTTGGGAGGATGACGATGAGGAAGAGGAGGAGGAGGAGCGGACTTTGCGATGACTTGTGCAGTCTTTGTAGACATCGAATACTTTTTCTTAGCCCGCCAGCGCTCGTCGCATGAAGAGTTTGGTACATGCCAGGATTCTGAAGGCGACGATGATGCTTGGCTGACATGCTGGACTCTGGGGCGCTGTGGGTGGCGTTCAGGTGTTGGCAGTAGTGTGGAGTCTGGACGTATGTCAACGCAAGTTTGAGCAAAGTTCCGGTTTCAAAATCAGCGCTTTTGGTCATTGGGGCTCGCGGAATGCGAAGCTGCGCAACGGAGAGTTCGCCTCGCGTCGTAAGGACGAAGACTTTGACTGGGTCGCTGGGCTGATGAAGTGATCAGCGAAAAAGAGTTGCTTTTTTCGCCTCATTCGACAAAACCCTCTTCGAGAGAACTTCGAGCTCTTTGTTGGAGAACCGCTTCGTTGGAGCCCGGGAGCGACCGCTTGGAGCCAGCTTGGGTCTGTGAAGCTGCCAGAGGATGAAATGCATTCAAAGTGCGCTGGCACGTGCGCTGGCACGTGCGCTGACATGTGCGCTGACATGCGCGCTGCGGCGCTGACATCGCATTGACATATGCATTGACATGGATTGAAATAAAGAAATACATGCTTGATGACAGCTTGAACGTGCGCTGAAAAGGCCGAGAGTGCAGGCGAATCGGGCATCTAAACCCTCAGAACCATTTGCGCAACAATGCTGCCACCAGTAAAGGTCTGAGAAGAGCATCGTAAGCTGATGCATTCCTGCCCTTGGTTCTCACGACTTGACTCGCAAGCCTGTGATCGCTTGTAGCCTGCTTAGAGCTGCAGGTATCTGGCCCTTCCAAGTTCCTCAAAAAAATTGAGGCGGGCCAGTTCTATCGACGTGCGACATGAAAGTGATGCAGCTGTGGCTAGGAAGGGCTGTGAAAATCAGGACCTGGACTGCAAGTGCCTTGTCGTTGTAGCGCCAGAGCTGGTGAGGGTCTCAGTATCAATTGGGCCTCCGATGCGGAGATTTTTTGTCATGAAGGATGGCGGCCTGGCAACTGCTTTGATGACATGGCAATATGTGGCAAGATAAATGATACGGGAGGAGCAGCTTCGCACCATTGCAGATTTGAGCAAAGACGTGGAGGATCAGTTGCATCCCGAGCTGTGTTTTGTGCAGCGTCCCCCTTTGTTCGATCAGAGTATCATAGACCTTGACATCTCCATGGATAGCGCCGTCAATGAACTCCAATGCTCCTGGCGTTGGATTTCGTGTGGCTTCTGAGGATGGGAATAATCCTCCTCAATGCTCGAATTCATGGCCTCCCTGGCCTGCGCATCAGAGCTGCCTCTCTGTTGGCCCCCGTGTTGAGCTTTGTGTTCAACATTTTTGCAGCCACCTGCCAGGCAACAAGAGCCGCAAGGCACGCAAGCTGCCGCCCAGGTGTCGAGCCTTATGACGGACTGCCACAAGTAAACCCTAAACATCCCACACGTTTTGCGCTGAACAATGAATCTGCTTGCCGAATCAAAGGTTGCAGGAGTATCTGCTGAAGGAGTTCGAGCCGTCGTATCACGTGCGCTTTCTGGAGAGCAAGCTGCAACCTCAGACGCTATACCTGGGGGGATTCCTGCAAGGATGAACTTGTGAAAGCTCATCAAGCTTTCGTGACATCGTTGGGCATCTGTGTAGAATGGCTCCTCGGCAAGGAAGTGGCCGGCCAACAGCATGATATTCAGACAGATATGTCCGGACGGGCAGGCGTGGCTCACCTATGCAGAGTTGAGGAATCTTGTGTGTGTTATTGTTTCAGAGATGAATCGAAGCTAGCCGAGAATAGTAGAGGCATGCAACAAGTGCTTATCGCAGGGGTTGGGTTTCACAAAGTCACTGCCGGCAATGGCCACGAGAACAATTCCTTAAGCAGTGCGGCAACACTACGGGGTTCCAACGTTCAGAGAAAGAGGGGCCAGATCGGTGAATACACCGGCCGTGAGCGACTGGGACCATGGGCTTTCTCAAGGCCTGCTCATACTTGCTGGTAGCAAAGTCGTGCTCTCGCCTTGGCACGGGGGCTTCCGAAAACCCGTTTCATTGGCAGGCGCAGAACTTTCGGCTCCTCCGAACATGGATTTTCGTTTGTTGCAGCAAGCATTTGGGGATTCGCAATGCGGAGGTGATTCAGAAATTCAGAGGTCATTGCTGCTCACGAAATGTGAGACTGTCGTCGTTTTTGGGAATCTGGGCTCGCGAAATGCGAAACTGTCATCGCTTTTGGCCGGGGTATTCCCCGTGGTGTAGCGCAAACTTGCTGAGTTGTTCCCACGTGTCAAGGCTTAGTAAGCCGACACTTGACTCTGGAAGCAACAACAGCATCAACAACAACAAAAGAGTTGGTACAAGTTTCAGCAGCCACAGAAGTTTGAGAAAAGCGAGGGTGGGTTCTGAGAGAGCCAGTGCAGACGCGTTCTTTTTGGGAGACGGGGATCTGATGAGAACGGGTGCTTGCCATTGCAACAATGCTTCGAACCTTGTGCAGAGAATCGAAGGGCATCGCAGGGCATCGCAGGGTCCAACTGCTACTTGTGATTACTGGTGTTATCCCAGAGTGTTGGAGTGATGCGCTGACACGCAGCCGAAGCAGCAACAAAAGAAAGGAAGAGGAAAAACACAAGTCCGCAAAGTGTTATTTCCCAATGGATCCAATGGGTTCGCGCCTCTCTGAGATTCATGGATTGAGAGCTTGGCCACGAGGGTGAGGGTTTTGAAGCAGTCTTTTTCGAGTACACTTGCCAGCCTTCCTTGCAGCTGGTTTCCTTTTCAGGGACCTTGGATCGTGGCAGTTCAGCGAGAGCTCGTGGGTGGAGCTGTGGTGACCAACGAGGCAGTCAGCAACCATATGTGTTCAGTTCAGCCTTGTTCACAGTCAAAGTATGCTCATAGTTCCATGGGAGATGTAGATCACGCTGCCGACGGCCTGTCGATTTGCTTGGATGTGGCTAGGTACTGCGGACTGACTACGAGTGCAGTCCTCGGGTTGTTGGGTGAAGCTCTTGGTAGCCTGCTGTCTAGTAGGACGAAAATCAATTGGCCGTCCACAGCACGAACCTCGACCCACGGATCCAAGTGGGATCGACCTCTAGATACATCTCGACCGCCTGCTTCAAGGGCTCAAGGTCTCCTGGATGATGCACCGCAGGGGGGTTAGTGGAAGATGGGAAGAAGCGAGAGAGCCGGGGCGGGCCCATGCAGCCTCATGCAGCAGATTGCAACAGGCCACATGGAGGCACGACGAGGTGCGGCCAGAGGTCAAGCAAAGGCGATCGTGCGACCAAAGGTCAATGGAGGCGCTCGGGATCGCTCAGGGTACAACGCAGCTTGCACCAGTCAGTCGGCAGAGACTGACCTCACGTGACCTCCTGCAGCGCGTGAACAACAAGACGTCTGAGCTGGAAGGAGTGACCACAGCAGAGCACAGCAGAGCATGGGCCCTCACCTTGCCGCAACCTGTGCTGCTGAAGAAGTATGTCGCGTATGTCCTATGTACTGATGTGTGGGTGGTATCATGTCACTTGGTGCTCTAAGGCTCATCAGGTAGCCCAAACTCGAAAAACCCACCACCCCATCCCACTACATCGAACGTGAGCCTTTCAGTTGAGTGAAGCCGTGCTCACGCCAAAGGCCAACTGCCCGGGAGATCAGCGAAGCATTCGATCGCCACCTAACTCAGCTTTGTTTTTCTTACTTGTTTTTCGCGCAGAGTGCTGCTCGTTGACAGCTCATGTAGCTGTGTGAGAGCGAAACCAGGTTATGAGACGAGTGACAAAGACCCGCCACCCATGCCGGTATTGGAGGGATGAACATGTGTGCTTGGGATGTCTGCCAGAGACTTCATCATGGCGCTCAGTTGTCTCATGCATCTGCGACTGTCAAATTCTCCGTCGAGCCGTTAGGTCCATGATGAGAAACTAGCGGCATTGACACAAAAATTTTGGATTCCTTAGAGAAGATCGGTTTGCAACACTTGGATCTGCCACGAGCTTTCCTTTTCTGACGTAGCCATGGATCGCAAACGGAACCTGGACCAGTACCTCCCGTCAGCTGGTAGTAGCTGCAGCTCGACGGTGGGGATCTCAGCATCGTGCCGCAATGCACGTGATCTACTGGGTCTACTGATCACTTGGTACATCCTACAGGCTCTGGCCGTTTAGGGTCGAGAGCTGAAGTCGCAAAGATTTGGGTCAGAAATGAGTGTGCTCTACCCTCAAAATGACTGCTTGGCCATGCCAGCTGAGCCGCGTGAAAGGAAATTTGAAATTGTTCTGTGGCGCCTACGATGTGGTTCTGGTTTGAGGTTTCTCTCCTTCGGCTCTCCAGCTCAGACGGAGCCGATCTGGGATTGTGTTTCTCAGGTTCAATGGGCTTGAGTGGCAAAAACGTATGACATGAAGCTCGCCAACGTTTTGGATCTCGAACAGCTTGACGCACTTCCATGTGATTTCAACAAGTTGTGGGGATGCCAGGCAAGATGAGGCATTGCTCAGCATTCAAATGTACTCAAGAATAGGGGCACCGTTTACATAGGATGAGACGTACTTGTTCGGGGAGATGTGATTTTTTTCACAGAAGTCCACATGAGTGTTGGGGTCTTGAAGGTTGGATTTTTAGGGAAAGGTTCTAGTTGACCGTGCCCGAACCGGGCGTGCCTGTTTGGGAATCTTGTGGACACCGAGGCTCTTGCTGGCTACATCCTATGGGCAATAGCTGGGCTCTGCATCCTGTTGACAGGCAGCCGGCGCCACAGCACAGCATTCAAACCATGTCAAGACTGTCAAGGTGAACCGGCTCATTTTCAGTTTTTGAACGATCTGATGCATGCTCCAGCTCTCCGTCCTCTCCATCTCGTGCACTGAGGTAGCGTGATGGCCGTCCAAGATTGCAAGCAAGCATGTGGTGTAAGCCTCAGACACCTCAAACTAGCGGCGTGGCCTTCACGCCAATACCAAGCAGTGCCAAGCGGTGCCAATACCAGGTCATCCGACCACTGTTACATTCAGAGCATGCTGATGGTAAAATACCATGCTCGATGTGAGGAAGTGTCAAAGCGCCCACGAACACAGCACTTTGAGTTTTTCACGGGCTACCGATTGCAACCGTGCTACCTGTTATCGGAAAGGTGGCGGCTGCATCGAAATTGGGGGCCGCCATGTAGAATGTGGTGGCCATGGCGAGGCGTGTGTAGTCCAACCCTGTGGGCTAGCTGTGATCACTCCGCTTCACCCCCCTGGCTTAGTTGCAGAAGTTCAGAGTTCTTTGTTTTGGTACATGGGACATGTTACCTTGCAGCGGCAATGTAGCATCATAATCACATAAACCAAATTTCATGTCCTGCTCCTGCTCCTGCTCCTGCTCCTGCTCCTGCTCCTGCTCCTGCTCCTGCTCCTGCTCCTGCTCCTGCTCCTGCTCCTGCTCCTGCTCCTGCTCCTGCTCCTGCTCCTGCTCCTGCTCGCAGTAGCAGTAGCAGTAGCAGTAGCAGAGTAGTCGTAGTCGTAGCCGTAGCCGTAGCCATAGCCGTAGCCGTAGCCGTAGCCGTCGTCGTCGGCGGCGTCGTCGTCGTCTTCGTAGTAGTAGTAGTAGTACTAGTAGTACTAGTAGTACTAGTAGTACTCGTAGTACTAGTAGTACTAGCAGTACTAGTAGTACTAGTAGTACTAGTAGTAGTAGTAGTAGTAGTAGTAGTAGTAGTAGTAGTAGTAGTAGTAGTAGTAGTAGTAGTAGTAGTAGTAGTAGTAGTAGTAGTAGTAGTAGTAGTAGTAGTAGTAGTAGTAGTAGTAGTAGTAGTAGTAGTAGTTCATTAGGATCTTCGGTGGTTGCTGGGCGGCCATGGAGTGGCTGGCCTGGTTCTGGGAGGCGGGTCGTTTCCTTCGGCCAACTGATGTGATCTGATCATATACCGGTTATTTTTTCCATCCCGGCGGCTAGCGCCGCCACGGCAGGCAAAGGAAGACCAGAAACGCTAGGGGCCCAACAGCAGCTTGAACTAGCTGGCTCAAGTGGTTCGGAGTGTCGTGAGTCCCTGCTGCCGATGCGACACTCGAGGATTTTCCGCTGAACCTGCCGGAGCTGGCCCCCCGTGCCAGGCTCTCGGATGCCATTAGTTTGAAAGAGGTCGGACGCCTACTCAATGTCTGCTCCTCTATCCCTTCTCTGAGATTGCATGGGGTCGGGGGCCTTCCCACACACCAATGCTCAACCCAACGTGGGAAACCCAGATGCTCCGACACTGGTCCGGCACCCCCTGAAGGCCAGGCCCACCACGGGCCGGAGCCTCCTGGAGGGCAGCGTCTGCAAGAGGCTACTGCGGCGCTTGGGATTCTGCGCCGGCCTATGTAGTCCCTGTGTACGCATTTGTCATATTTGCATTCAGAAATGCACGTCTTGAGGAGGCCGAGCTTTAAGGGGGGGAGCGGAGGGTGCAATGCTTCTTCGTCACCCAGCTACGCCGCCCAAGGAGCTGTTGGAGGCACTTGGAAGAAGAGGCGGGGTGCCTGGATATGCCTGGATGTAATCATGCTGCAATAATGCAATGTAACTATCAGATGGTGCGCGGAGTCGGAGCAGGAGCAGGAGTTGCTTTTAGTATAGTCCCCAAACCAATTGTTCCACGCGAATCCCTGAACCTCGATACACACCAAACGTACGAACCAGAGCCTCTCCTGCGCAGCGCCGCCAAACGTCCCAGAACGCTTGAAGTTCAGATGCTCTGCCATGGTGAGCAACCCTGCAGATCACCAAGGGCTGCCAGGGTAGGCAGATTATCGTGTATGTCGCCCCCACCCCCGTTCGAGGGTTGGACTTTACAAGTCCCGGCACCAAACTCCGAAATTTCCAAACCCGAAACGATGGGCCCTAACTCCATGTGGGTTCAAGGCTCGGAGTCCCGACCATGCGGCGCTTTTAGGGCGCCAAAATCACAAACCCAAAGCCCTCGCGCTCCAAACTCCAACCCTAAGTCCGTCTAAGCCCTAATTGCAGCCCAAATCCACCTAAACTCACGCGACGACCAGTAGCCAAACAACCCCCCATTCCTCTAGCTTCAATTGACTTGGCGCGTGCCCCGACAGCCGCTTGCTCAAAGCTCCCATCGCTGCGTCGGCCTTGCTGACAGCCGACTTCAAAGAGTGGTGACGCCAGCGCGCCTCGCTCCGGCGCCCGAGTGGGCGTCGGCATGGCTGCAGCGGCGTCGCCCGGGATTTCAGGGTTGCAGGGAGTTGCGCCCGTAATATACAATATATAATATAGAATATATAATATTCAATATACAATATATAATAAATAAATAAATAATATATAATATATAATCTAATATTAAATATAATATAATTTAATATAATATAATATAATATAATATAATATACAAATATAACATATATAACATACATAACATATATACATATATATACATAATATATATATATATATAATATCTATATATATATATAATATAATATAATATAATATAATATAATATAATAATATAATATATATATAATATATTATATAATAATATAATATTCTATATATATATATATAATATATATATATATAATATATATAATATATATAATATATATATATATAATATATATAATATATATAATATATATATAATATATATAATATAATATATATATATATATATAACATAAATATAATATATATAATATATATAATATACAATAATAATAAATAAATAAATAAAAATATATATATAATATATATATATATATATATATAAATATATTTCTATATATATTATATAATACAATATATATTGTGAGCAGGTCAAAGCACACATGCAACATGTGCTCAGCTGCAGTGCAGTAGTGTAGATTCTCTTTGCGTGTTTAGTTTTGCAATTCGAGTGAATGCAAATTTTGGATATATAATATATATATATAATATATTATATATATAATATAATAGAAAAATATATAATATAAAACATAAAATATATAATATATAATATATAATCTAGAAAATCATATATATATATATATTATATCATATATATCATAAATATCATAAAAAAAATATATATATATATATATATATATATATAATATACTCTGTATAAATATAAATATAAATAAATAAATAAATAAAATAAATATATATATATATATATTATAATATAATATGATATGATGTAGTATAATTGCTCCTTGGCGGCCTCTGATGACCCGGTTCTCCAGCATATGCCCGCAAGAATGAGCGCTGCTTGGGTACGGACCCTACCCCCGGCGGGCAATTAACTCGCCATTGAAAATGTTTTCAACGTTTGTGTCCGTTGCCTTCCGTCCAGGGGCCCAAGCGGGTTTTGAGGTGCTGGAAGGCACTGGAAATGTGGCTTAAGGCTCGACTGCGAGGCTTGCGAAGGCTCACCGAACCCTGGAGACGCTGGAGTGTCCCTAGCGGCTCGGATCTTCAAAACACCACGAACTCCAAATTTAACTGAAATTCTGTGTTCCGCAGAGGAGCAAGCCATACTTCCCTTCGGTTCTAAAATTTTAAAACTACAGTAGGCCTCCGGATCCGCAGCTGAGTTCAGAAATAGCTTTGTCTTTGTCCGGCCCAGAGTTCAGCAATTTCTGGGGGATGTTGAATGAATGTGCCTTGTTGGGAGGGGTTGGGCTTTGGTGCTGCCGTGTTCTTGTTTTTTTCAGCTCTCTTGCCCGCTAGGACTGCCAGCTATGGTCCGCGCAATGCCCGCCACCGAGTCTCAGCAACAAAAGGCTTTCAGCTGCAAGGTCGTGGGCCAGGAAATTCCGG